TCTTGGCCAAGGCTCTAAAGAAGGGCTGATTCAAGCAACAGTTTTTCTGGTTTATAATACTCACCTGTTCTGAAATATATACTAAAAGACAAGAATATAGAGTTATTTTGTGACTTTTAGTTATCTGTATGTTTCTCTTATTTTATGCTTATAATAAAATATATATTCACTTAAGAGAATATATTATTAAAAATCACTATAGACATAATGGATCCGGGTTAATCCTTGTGTATCTACTTTATAAGATTTCCAGTAATAATTATTCTTTATAGGCTAACTAAAATTTCCAATATGTTTCAACTGAAAAACTGACTTTTCCCCCAATGTGAACAATAACAATTTCAGGAGGAAAAACAAAAAGAAAGGCTGGTTAATTCATCCGTAGGTCAACTAAGAAAGGCCAGACACGTGCACCAAGCATCCCACTTTCTCTTAATAGCGTCCTAGGGCTTATGACCTATGCATTAAACCCATCTTGAACCCATATGTATTTTCAGTTTGAACTTTTTTTCTTGAGTGCATGTCACATGGCTTAATTCCCATTGGGTAGACTTCTACTTGTCATAAAACTACCTCTTTTGAGTTCTGCAGGTAGCTCTTAGAAATTTGAGATCTAAAGTTTAAAGGGGTTCTGTAAGTGGTAGAAATAATTTCTACCCTGACCTAACAGATGTTATGAGTGAACAGGTATTGTCTTTTAAATTATCCTATTCTTCCCCTACCCAACATGACCCGTTTTGAGGGTGGAGGGTGGTTGTTAACCAATACCCAATAGGAAAGTCCAGATCTGAAATGACCCAGCCACCAGCTGAAAAAGCACAATCCTTGTTTTAAAGCCTTTACAAAAAAATTTAATTCTCCTGTGGCTTGTGAACACCTCTCATTTGGGGTCTCCCTGCTCTTGATGGATCATATCTTTGGTTCTTAAATGTGGTGCCAAGTATAATATTTAAAAGGGCTGGCAGACTTTTGCAGTGTTTGACCTCATTGGAAATCTTGTTCACTTTTGAAAAAAAAGAGAGAGGGTATTAAAATGCAGTTTGAAGCCCATGACATTTTTGAGAGTAAGATTTTCATCCTGAGTTGGTATTTTCTGTAGTAGCCACTGGAATTTCTCCCCTCACCAAGAGCTTCCTGTTATTCTGGATGTCCACCAGCAGGTTAAAATAATCGGGGTGGGGAAAAGTTGTGGATGTTTACATAATTACCAACTTGGTCCTCGAGCATTCAACAGTTATGACCTTCTTGCCCTTCCTCTCCCCGGACCCTGTGGTTCTCAAACAGAGATGATTTTGTGCCTCAGAAGACAATTGGCAATGTCTGGAGACACTTTTGGATGCCACACTGGCTGGGGTTGGTGTTGTGCTACTAGCATATAATGGGTAGAGGCCAGGGATGCTGCTGAACATCCAAAAATGCACAGATTACCCACTGCCTCGTTCCCCCCCGCCCCAGGAATTATTCACCCCCAAATGTCAATAATGCTGAAGCTGGGAAACTCTGGTCTAGACTTTGAGGACTTGGAAAGAGGGTGATGGTGAGGGCAGCCATTGACAGCCTTTTAATGTGGTCCCAGCTGTCGTTAACCACTGCTTTCAGTTCTCTCTATGGAAACATGAGAGGAAACAGTCATCATGGCTTCCATTTATTGAGTGTCATGTACCAAGTGCTGGAATTATTTCATCTTCACAATAAGCTCGTGCTGACTATACCTTCTTTGAGAGCAGGGGCCTTGTCCGTTTCTCTCATTACTGTACATTTTATGTCTAGTACAGTGCCTGGCATGTGGCAGGCCTTTAACATGTGGATAACTGGAGCAATTATATCCATCTTACACATGAGTAAAACGAGGCTTGAAAAGACCACACAGCTAGTGTAAGTAGCAGAGTCAGGAATTGAACTGACCCCCTGTGACTTCAGCACCAAATCCCTCACCCGCTGAATTATATCCTTCACTTGCAGCATTAGAGCGGTTTTCTGGCCTCTAAAATCACTAGTGAAGGACTGAGGGGGGGAGAAAGGAGTTTTTTTTTTTAAAAAAGAAGATTAAAAAGGAAACACTTAGCTCTAGGTGAAAACTGAGGTAGGAAGAAAGGCCTTATGGAGCCCTCTCTGCTTCTGAAGGGATCTTCCCTTGTTTCTGAAGGCTGATTTTGGCTTTTCAAGCGTTTCTCTGTGTGCTGTCTGAGCAGCACATTTTGCAGAGGGGGAGACTAAGGCACAGAAGTTACAGGAGCGTGGGAGTGGATGAAGGACTGGAACTTCGGAAAAAGAATGTTCCAGCTCTGGGCACCCGCTGGTAGTCGCTGAGACAAAGGCTTCCTGGAGGTGGACACTCAGCTCACTCAAACCCTTCCCTGACAGAAGCAAGTCCAGGTAACCCCTTGGGCTTTCTACCCTGTAGAGCAGGCAAACGTGACTACACGTCCCAGCAGCCATTGCGGAATCCGGCTGCACGCAGGAGCACCAAAGCGGTCCGCGTACTACAACTCCCGGCGTGCAGTAGGCGGGGCGGGACTACATTTCCCAGGAGGCAG